ACAGTCCAGGCAAGAGCAGTCTCTTACCCAAATGGCTAACAAACTCCATAAACAGCCTCTTTGATGCCCATCATTCTCTTGAAGTAGACTGGTGCTGCCAGGAGCAGAAATGTCTCACTGTCATGAAAAGTTCTAAATTTGCTGACTGAGAAGCCAAGAACAATGGCACTGGGTTTTGATTCTACTGCATGTACTGGTTTTATGGGAGCCTAGTCTGTTTGGATGCTCACCTTCCTAGACCTGGAGGGGGGAGGACCTTGGACTTCCCACAGGGCAGGGAACCCTGACTGCTCTTTGGACTGGAGAAGGAGGGGAAAGGGGAGTGGGGGGAAGGAGAGGGAAATGGGAGGAGGGGAGGAGGTGGAAATTTTTAATAAAAAGAAAAATAAATAAAAGATTAAAAAATAAAAAAAAAGTCCTAAATTCTTAAACATTTTAAATGACATATTCTGTAGTCTTTGATAGGTTTGAAAAATACGTATCCATCTGAAATACATCTCTGTACATCTAGAAAACCTAACTAACATGACTACAAACTTGACTATTATAGATACCTCTCTATTAACCTATATTTCTTAATTTTATACATTACATTTTTAAATGAGCTGTACAAACACAATATCTTAGTCAAGAGGAGAAATATATATATACACACACACACAGTATAACAAAATTGACCTTAAATTTGTATCAGTAAACCAAGATCCATACCAATGCAAATCTCTATCGCATATCCCCCTTTAAATGTAAAGAAACATTTATAAACAATATTTGGGAATATGGGCATAATTCTCCAAACTGCTTTCTGCTGTTTATTGGGAGAAATAATTTTTGGGGGTGTTCACAGAGACCTTTCATGAGGTCTTGGTCCATCAAACCATATTAGTCTGGAAGCAATGCACAGGTTTTCATCCCCTGTGAAAATAAAAGAAGAACCTCTTTGCCAAAGAAACATATCCCTAGACCCAAATTCTGAAGCCAAGATACCTTTAAAATATATAAATGTTGGTTACTTAGCTCCTTCACAGTCAAAAGATTCAAAGCAAACACGATAATATACATAATCCAGACTCTCTGTATCTTTATGTGACTAATTTTTATTATCTATTGCTTTTTCTACAGCAGGAGTCCATGTCCCCTAGAACTTCCATAAGTGCCAGGTGGACATGACAGCCTGCCTGTAATTCCAGAGCTCTGAAGGCAGTGACAGAGACCCACCCCCACCCCTGAGTAATCTGGCTACCGGACTAACCATATCAACAGGCTCTGAATCCAACTGAGAGACCCTGCCTCAGTGAATAAGGTGGAGAGTGGTGGAGGAAGATTCACATGTCATCTTGGACCCTCATATGCACACACAAACACACACACATGTGCACAAACACATGCACATGTACCCACACACATGCAAACATGCATACACATGCACACATACCACACATACACATATGCACATATTGCACATACACATACACACACACACTTGTCTGAGCCCTGAGCTCCAAAGTAATTGATGACCTTTGCCCTCCTTCCCACCCGCTCCCACCCTGCTACCCCTGCATGCTCTCCATATACATACAAAACCTTTGGGCTGGAGGTGAGATAAAAGGCCAGTTTTCAAGATGTTAATCCAAGGTCTTCTCTGATTCTCAGTTCTCTGCATAAAACACAACATAAAGTTTCAGTTCCTGTCTCTGCCTGTTGATAGCTGTGGCAGCAGGTTTTGTAAACTTCAGTAATCTGACTGTATTATTATCATTGTCATTAACAAAAAGCCACCTTATAATTTACAGTGTCACTATTGTGGCCTAAACGGATGTCTCAGTAGCACACAGCATCAAGAGCTCTTACTGGTCTGGGCTGCAGAATCCCACTAGGGGTCTGACCTCAGCATCATCCCTGCATTCTGCTTTCCTGGGCCCATGTGCATACTTTTCCTGTCTCAGTCATTCTATCTCTCCATCTCCATCCCCATCTCTTTCTTTCCAATCCTCTCATCCCAAATGAGATGTAAACATTAAATCCTCCAGAGGCGGCCTAGCCCTACCCACTGCCATAGCAACCTCTCCCCTTACATCTACATGGGAGGCCTGTCGGTTTCCTCCTATGTAAGATAAGACACAGACTGTCAATGCAGAGACATTGCTTGGCCCCGAGCCTGGAGCATGGTAGTCACAGAGTCACCCTTTTATTTTGAGGTTTTCCTCTGGGTTCCTGCACTTCAGTATGAGCTTTAGGGCCAGGAGTCACAGCGTCAGTGCTATGGTTTGCATAGGGGTCCCCCAAAACTTCTTCAGGTTTGGTAACTGGTCTGTCATATTAGTGGCAGGCAGGTGACTTAAAAGGTTCCTAGTGGGAGGAAGTTAGGTCATTGGGGGACATGTTCTTAAAGGAGATACTGGAACCCCACCCCTCGGTGTTTGCTGGCCACTATGACATAAGCAGTTTCCTCTACTCCGTGCTTCCTCCATAATGCACTGTGTGACCACACCGGACCCCCAAGCAGCAGGTCAGCCAGTCACATCGACTGAGACCTCCAAGACTGTGAGCGAAATCACCCTCTCCTTGTTCTAAACAGACTCACCGGAGTGCGCTGCCATAGCAACAGCAGGCTTACCGCTTGGAGAAAAAACAAGGGAGCAAGAGAGATACAAAAGGACAGACAGAGAGCTGCTCCAGTTGCCAGAAACGTTCTAACGTCACCTCTGCGGGGCTCACCTCCCTTCTTCCTTCCACAGATGGACCAGCAGGTGCGTACAGGTGTGTGAGGTTGTTTGCATCACTAAAATGAAGGAGACGACGGCTTGGTCTGCCCCGTTGGTTAGCGATGGGGACATCGTACTACATGCATCCATACACTACAGCATTTACCCTCACCACCATCCCAGGAGGAAGGTAGAGTTACCTGCATCTGGCAGGAGAGGAAAGAGGCCCAGAGGTGGCAGAGTAGGGAATCTAATGCAATGCTGCCTAGCGTTTAACTAACTGTTGTTGAACTTTTCCTGTCTCATAGAGTAGGCAGTGGAGAAGAAGCCTAGACACTGTAAAGACTCGAACAAATATCTGGGTACATCTGCAAACAGCCCTCCTTCACTCTCAGCCTTCGTACTGAAAACCAAGAAGATGTGCCCATGCCTGTGTGCTTGTGTTCAACCGCCGAAGGGCCTGCAACCATCCCACTCACTAAGCGGCCAACACTACTCTGGTGTCCTGTATGCCGGGTACCCAGCTGCACAGTTCCTTCTTTCACTGCTCAAAGCAACCAGACTTGTTGGCTTCTTGAGACAGAGTCTCACTGCACAGGTCATTATCTTTCCGTGGCCTCCTGAATGTTGGCATTACAAGGTGTGCCACCATCCTAGGCTCAAAGGAACTTCCAAAGGAACCTATTCTCATTCCCATCTTTACAGGTGAAAACCAGACCCAGAGAGGCCCAAGGGTCTCGTAGTCTTGAGATGCCGCTCGTGTGACCGTTCCTTCAGGTCCCTTTGCATAGTCAAGGGAACCACTATCCTGAGTCCCATCTGAGTCGTGGCTCCAGGTGACGGCAGCCTCAGCTGCACAGCTGGGTACCGATGAGAGTCCTTAGACACTGTGACAGTTTACTCTTGCTACATCCCCAAGCCTCAAAGGCAACAACCACGTGCACTGATAGCACTGAAGGGCAGAGGACCTGCTGGTGCAGACTGGACCCCGCTGGAGGAAGGTGGGGCAATAAAAGTCACACGGCCATAGGAGGGGACGCAGCAAGAGTGACAGCTCAGGGTCACTCTCTCCTCTTCCTAACCACAGTTCCAGGGACATCACAGTGGCTGATTTCCTCTTCTCCCAATCAGGACAAACTGTTACTGCTTTTGATAAACACACTGCAGAGGGTGTGAAAAAAAGAATGTTAGCTGTATTTTTCTTTCTTCCATTGCTCTGGTGATACCGTTAATGATAATATAATTTGCCGTTGTCCGGGCCTTGAAAGAGAACAAGGCGTTCATTATCTCTCTGATCTCCACATCAACCCGGGGAAGTGTACGGAGCAGGGAGAGATCAGGGATGACGGGTAATTAATTAACTCGACGGTGATAATAGGGCCAGTGCCACTTTGACTCCCGCCCTGCTCCCACACTAACACAACTGGATCGCTGACTGTTGACTCATCTCTCAATGATGAGTTAGAGCAATGAGGTCAGAACCTGCTTGGGAATCCCAGGGGACCTGTTTTCTTGCTGTGTGACCTGGGCAACTTACCTAGCCTCTCTGGTTTTGTTTCCCAAATCTTCTCTTACAAATGATCCCCATCAGAGTGATTTACAATAGAAACACGGTCTCCCTCAGCTTGGGAAACCAGAAGCCCTCTTTAAAGATGCCCATCGTGTTAGGATAAGGGGGTCACTTTGCCCTCATGATAATTCCATATTAACCTACCCAGCTGAACAAATAAAGTCTATAATGCCCCTATTTTCAAATAAGGTCACGTTCTGACTTTCATTCATTGGGGGGGGGGGCACTGCGTGTATTTGCAGGTGTATGGGTGCACATGAGGGTCTGCACATGTGTGTGCACGTGATGTGAAGGTCAGAGGTCATGCCTGGGTGATGTGGGAGTGATTTCTTATTAATAAAGAAACTGCCTAGGCCCCTTGATAGGCCCACCCTTAGGTGGGTGGAGAAAACAGAAGAGAATTCTGGGAGAAAGAAGCTTAGTCGAGGAGTCGCCATGATTCTCCCGCTCCAGACAGACACAGGTTAAGATCCTCCCTGGTAAGCCAGCTCGTGGGCTACATAGAATATTAGACATGGGTTAGAACAATATGTAAGAGCTAGCCAATAAGAAGCTGGAACTAGCCGGGCCAGGCAGTGTTTGAAAGAATACAGTTTCCGTGTAATTATTTCGGGGCATTAGCTAGCCATGTGGGCGGCCGGGTGCGGGGGGCGCAGCCCTGCCGCTCCTAATTCAACACCTGGGTTTCTTCTTCTGTCACTACCCATCTTAGTTTTTGAGACAAGGTCTCTCACTGGCTTGGAGCCAGCAAGCCTCAGGGTCCTCCCCAGCAGGGATTTCAGGTATGTGCTGCCAAGCGTGGCTCTGGTTTGTGTGGGTTCGGGGGTATGAGATTTGGGTCCTCCTCCCTATATATCCATCACTGTACTGACTGAGCCCCTTCCCTACACCTCCCCACCCAGCACCCTCTCCGAGCCTTGTTTTTTGCTTTCTCTTTTCCAACTGTACCGCTACAGGCAGGCTTTCCGTAACACCATTAAGTGGAAAGCTCACCGCAGAGCCTGGCTCCTTGGACCCACTCATCAAACAGAGGCCATTGTTGTCAACACCACCACTAGAGGCCCCCGAGGCAGCAGTGACCATCCTCCCCCAATGTCAGGACTGAGTTTTCCACTTCTTGAACCAGAGTACTGTGCCCACAATAAAGGCTCAAGAAATGTGTTAGGACACCTAGGTGAAACCCAGAGGCACATACCAGCCTCCGAGCCCTGCGGTCTCTCCCTAAGGACCCATGGGGGTCCCAAGGACCATCTGTCCTGCTGTGAGACTCACGCCTTGTTATGACTCCAAGTGACTAAAGAGTGCTTTAAGACTGGATACAAAGAAAGGAATCCCTGGAAGTTTGTATCTATTTATTTGTTTCTTTTCTGGCAGTGCTGGGGATTGAACCCAGAGCCTCACACATGCCAGGCAAGGGCTCTCCCACTGACCTACAGCCCTTCTGCTTGTTCTTGCTATAGTACCGCTGCATATAAATATATAATAGCACCGAATATAGTACGAGTCTCAAGCCTCAAAGGAAACAAGAGCAATAAGCTGACGAAAGGGTCTGTGGCTGGGGAGTGGCTAGGACAGACTAGGCTCAGTTGAAGATAGCGTTTGCTCAACTTGGGTGGGGCCAGGCCTCACCCACTGTTCTGCCCCAGGGAAGGCCCACAGACACACCTGAATCTGAGCCTTCCCTGTGCCTACCACACCAACAGCATTCCATAGATGGCTCCGTTCCCGCCGCCTGGAATCCGTTAGGCAGCTGGTGCTTCAGCTGTTAAAATACCGCAGGGACTTGCTGCTTGCTGAGGTTCCCCAGGGAGGTTAATCTGTCAAGAAGGCTTTGCCAAGACAACCAGAGTGGCACGTTTTGACATTTGGGGAACGCTCCTGTTTACACATCACACCTAGTCTTACCCCCGCGAGGACTTCCCTGAGCACACAGCTGATGTCTTCTGAGGGTTGGAGGCAGTCAGTGGGGACACAGGAATGTGCTGGTGGGTGGCTCTGATGGCCTGGGGTAGCAAAGCTCAGGCAGAGCCCAGCCTGGGTTGGGATAAGGCAGAGGAGTTCAGATGGCGGCTGCTTAGCTCCTGTCCCAGGGTGTACTCAAGACCCTTTGGGGCCTTATCCCATCGTCAGGGAAGCCCGTTGCATTTCCTTCACAGATGTTCCAAGGAACAGACAGGAACACGGCCTCAGAAAGAGAATGGGACCCCCAGCTGTCTCCATAAGCCATGAATGGAAAAGTCTTCCGATAAGAGGAGAGATCTGTGCAGGTGAAGAAGTTAGACAAGGCCCATGAAAGGAGGGGAGGGAAGAGGCCTTAAAGGGGGTGGGATGAGGATAGCAAAATATATAGTGATTTAAAAGTAGAGAGGAATAATAAAGGTTTTAGTGGGGATGGGAGCGAGAAAACAGGGGAGAAAGATTGGGAGAAGGCTAACCAAAGTTAAAGATTTACATGGAAGGCCGTTTGGAACCTCACTAAACTGTAAGCTAATTTAGTAATTAATTTATAACATAAAGGACAGCAAGATGTCTTAACTGATGACAGCATTTGCCTGAGGACTTGAGTGTTATCCCCGGAGCCCACGGTGGAAGGAGAGGACCATCTCCAGAAGGTTGCCCTCTGACCTTCATATGTGCACTGCGACACACATGTACACACATGGTAGACTGCCCTGCTCTAGTGAACGGCCCCACACTCATGTACATGAGTAAAGTGCTAATTGAGCTCAATGGCTTAATTCATAAAATGAAGAGAGCATAATAGTGCAAGAGCAACACATTGGGGTAAGTTTCCAGGAGGGAGAGGAGATGCTGTGCAGTAGATATGACCAAGACACTGCATACATGTATGAAATTGTCAACACACTATTTAATAAATATATTTATTAAATATTAATTATTTATTTATTACAATTAACATAACATTAATTATTATGGTTAATCATTATCAGTATAATATGAATATATTAATATTGAATGCTAAATGATATTTAATAAATAATAATATAAATTATTATTTATTACAAATAAATGCAGGGAAATGGGAATCCCCAAATAGGTGCAAGAAACAAGGGTTGCTCAAAAAAGCAAGAATTATGGGTAAAGCAAATAGAGAGGTAATTATTACATATTTAGATATGTATTACATGGGCTGGAGAGATGGCTCAGAGGTTAAGAGCACCAACTGCTCTTCAAGAGGACCTGGGTTCAATTTCCAGCACCCACATAGCAGCCTACACTGTCTGTAACTCCAGTTTCAGGGAATCCAATATCCTCATACAGACAAACACATAAAATAAAAATAAATAGATAAATAATATATATTTAGATTTGTGTAATATGTAATGCATATATACATATACAGATTACATCATTATCACCATCATCACTACCACCATCGCCATCATTATCATCACCACTATCATCGCCACCATCACCACCATCACCATCACCACCATCACCATCAATCACCACCATCACCATCACCACCACTGCCATCATCACCACCCTCACCATCATCATCATCATCACCATCATCACCATCATCACCATCACCACCACCATCACCATCACCACCACTGCCATCATCACCACCCTCACCATCATCATCATCATCACCATCATCACCACCATCACCATCATCACCATCATCACCACCCTCACCATCATCACCATCATCACCACCATCACCATCACCACCATCACCATCACCATCATCACCACCATCACCATCATCACCACCATCGCTATCACCATCACCACCATCACCACCATCACCACCATCATCATCATCACCACCACTGCCATCATCACCACCATCACCACCACCTTCATCATTCCCCTGAGCTGTTAATCCACAAGTACTCATGGAGTAGAGGGTACTCATCAGAGGTTTTGTCAAGTGATGATGACCCATCTGGCTGTGGCTAGAAACAACTCTACCCTAAGACATCTTTGTGCCGAGCCACCCGGACCCAGGATCCCTTTAATATGCTCTCTCCTATTTCTTCCTCATGGCATCTGAGAGACAAGACAGGGTCTCCAGAGTGAAGCTCTGAGAGCGACAAGTAGGAGCCAGGTGCTCCCAACGGTCTCGCAGGCTATGTCAGAGTCATCCTTACTAATTCCATCCATTTCTGAGATAGGGTCTCACTATGTAGCTCTGGCTGTCCTGGAACTCTCTAGGATAGCCTGGAACGCACAGAAATCTGCCTGCTTCCACTTCCCACATGCTGGGACTAAATGCACGCAACACCACCCCTGACTTTCAGTAGCTGTTTTTACTGAGGGATCCTATGCCTGAGAGGACATGACACCTGAGCCAGTGACTGAAGCATACCAGTGTGTCCTGAGAGAACAAAAGGGATTCCCAGAAGCGAGCCTGCCCTGAAGAGCCAGAGGTTCCAGGCTGAGGAGCCACCTATACCAAAGCACAGTCATGGGGCATGGCCAGAGCATGGAATACTGAGGGACAAGGATGTGTTCCCAGGAGCTTAGCCATTCAGCACTCTGTCCGGAGGCTGCCCAATAGATGCTCCATAAACTCTAAGGGACGGGTGATGGGCACGGAGGGACGGGTGGATGGGCACTGAGGGACGGGTGGATGGGCACTGAGGGACGGGTGGATGGGCACTGAGGGACGGGTGGATGAGCACTGGCTCAGTATAGTTCGGGAGAGTTCTAAGCTGACGTGGCTTTGAGCTCCAGCCTCAGCTTTCCTTCACCCCACCTTGAGCCACACCCTTTCCCACGCAGGATTTCTGACCATCTCCAGTGCTAAGAATGATCACATGTTTGGGGGACTGCTTCAGAAGTCCAGTCTGCTCCAAAATACCTACCCCGGTCAGACCCAAACCCTGGCTCAAGAATCCACTGGGCAGAGATGGAGCCTTTTCCTTCCACCTGTCCCGCCCTGCACCTGCCCCGCCCCTACAGCCTCTGATGCCCCAGCGTTCTAAGGGAGCCATAAGATGCCCGAGGGACCGTCGGAGAAGCAGAAGTCTTGTTCTCAGAGAGTCACCCATGACTGTCTTGAGAGCAAGACCAGCCTTCCTGCTGACACACACTCTACATAGGTGACCTTTCCTTAGGAACCAAGTCGTGGAGGGAAATGTTCCCCCAATCTCTTGACTGACTTCAGTTGGCCCATGTGCCTGCTCCTTCAAAAATTCCATTAGGTTCTGTCTGTAGAGTCCACTGGGGACCTCCATGCAGCCTGTCCTCTGACATTATGACTTGTGAATGACCTCTCGTGATCCCTACCAGCCACTCCCTCCAGGGTCAGCCTCTCAGGCCTCTCCCTGCCGGGGCTGCAACAAAGTCTCTTGGCTGGGATCCACAGAAATCTCCAGCAGCTGCTTTGGGTGGTTTCCACTTGTGCCTGACAAGTGACAGGTGTACAGGAAACCGGCAGCTGTCATCTCCTCCCTCTGTCACCGTGAACTGTCACATATGGTCAAGGCAGTGAGAACCAGGGAGCAGGCTCTCTGTCGCTCTGAGTCCCTGGCTTGAGTTCTCACCAGCAGCTCTCGTACACTGTCGTCTGGCACACACTGGTCTGTAATGGGAACCTATGTCGGGGAACAAGACACCAGCCCCTTTTCTTAAGGGAACCCAAGTAGCTAAGGGTGATTCTCCTTGAGTCTCACTCATGGAACAGCAGATAGAGCAAGGAATCCAGAACTTTCTATTTGCTTGTTATTTCTGTGTGTACCCTTCTCTTTCCTTTGGGGTGTTTTGGTGTGTGTGTGTGTGTGTGTGTGTGTGTGTGTGTGTGTGTGTGTGTGTGGTGTATGAGCACTGTGTGTAAGGGTGTTCACACCTGTGTGTATGTGTACAGAGGTGAGAGAAGAACATGAGCTAGCCTGTCGTTCTCAACCTGATTCCTCCGAGGCAAGGTTTCTCACTGAACCTGGCTGGAGCTAGGCTCCTATCCAGCAAGATCCAGCCATCTTCCTATCTCCAGCCAACATCCACAGATTCTGGTTGTGAATATTCCAAAATACTAAAGAAACAGAGGTTTGGGATCTCAGGCTCCACCCCAACAGGGAGATAGGACTTTGTGGAATGTTTCCTTACTGATGGAAGGTCTGTTCTATAAGGTGGTGACGTTGCTTGATTCTCCTATGCCTACAACAGTGCTTGGCATGGAGGAGGCTTCTGGTACATACGTATTAAATGTCAATCTTTTTTAAAGCCCAAAAGCAAGTCTCTAAAGAATACTGGTGCATCTTTGGGAATCCCCACGCATTGCAATGGAACACATATGCCCGACTAACCCACTGGTGAATGAAAGAGGCTGCCACGGGGGTATGCCTTAAAGGTGGGAAGGAGAGAAATACCTTACAGCAGGCAATTTTAGGCAGTGGCCCTTGGTCATAGGATTAGAACGGGGCATCTGCCTAAGACTTGGCAGACAGGTGTTGGGCAGCTGCGCTTACACAAGTATTCCTTGAGTGAGGCTGAGCTGGCCTCCGGGCGGGCTTGTGGCTCCAGCAGAGTCCTTTGCCATGGCGACTGTCTATCAGGCCACCATGCCTAAGGTGCCTCCTCGTAAAGATGGCACAAGGATTCAGTTTTGGTTCTGACAACTTTCAAGTTCCTTTCCCTTTTCATACAGTGAGACGGGGTTGTCGATAAATGGTTTTCAAAATATAGCTGATAGCATGGAGGAGCTATTTATGGTAATATGATACTTCAGTTAGAAGCAGAAAACTAGGCCGAGGAGGTGGGTCGGTGGGTAAAGTGCTTCCTGCACAAGCATGGGGACCTGGGTTTGGACTCTGGTATCCACGAAAAAGAATCCAGGCGTGGCAGCGGCACCTGTAACCCCGGTGCTGGGTAGCTGAGGACAGGAGGGTCCCTGGGGCTTCCCAACAGCCGGCCGGGCTCAATCAGTGAGCTATGAGGTCAAGGAGCTCTGTCTCAAAAAAGCAAGGTGGAAAGCGACCGAGAAACAACACAAAATGCGCTGACTTCTGACCTAGAAAACACACCAGAGAGGGCAACCGGATGTTAGTGCGTGCCTGTCAGTCTCTCTACACTGAGGCAGTCAGACTGTGTGTGTAAGGCTACCCCGGGGTGTGTAATGAGATCTGTCCCAAAAAAGAAAAACAGAGGGAGGGTTCTGCCACCATACAGTGGGGCTGCAATAATTGTTTATTATACAACTGGAAGGAAAACGCTTCAAGGAACACATCAAATTGACTCCGGTGATCTCAGTGTGGTAGAACAAGGGTTGGCTTGTGTTCTTTCATTTCTTTTTTTCTCTACATTTAAATTTACTTTAGCGGACCTGAGAGGCTGCTGGTGTGAAAATAAAGAATTTTGGCAGAGTGGAGAGAATGGAAATCTACCATCTCTTCTGAGGCGTCCCCTAGCCCATTAGAGGCCCTGGGGTGCACAGAACTATCTACATGGAGCAAGATACCCATCCTTCCATGAGCATACAGAGAGGCCACACCAGATTCCCGAGTTGGGGTTTCCAGAGACAATGAGGATGAGGGGATACAGTGATGACAGAACTGGGGTAGTTTGACCTATTCAGCGTTAGTGGTCCCAGCCAGGAAGAGCCTGGACCAGGACTAAAGGTTAAGGAAGGGGGCCAACTCCAGAAAGCAGAGCCAAAATACAGGGTCTGAGCACAAGAGGGGGCAAATACCAGGTGTCCTAGTTAGAGTTTTGTGGTGATATTTTGTTTGTGATCTAACAAATAAGGCTTACCTGAAGATCAGAGTGCAGAGCTAAGCCATTAGTTAGCCACAGAGGCCAGGCAGTGGTGGCTCACACCTTTAATCGCAGCACTGGAAAAGCAAAAGCAGACCGACAGATCTCTACAAGTTCAAGGC